AGCATAGATTTCTGAGAATTATTTACTAAGCAAATCATTTTTTGCTAAAATTTCTCAGGAACCGATCAATTTTTCCAAGAATGGAATATGGAACAATGAAAAAGACATTTTATAAAGGCCAACCTAAAATTAATAGTGAAGGATTCATTATTTTAGTTAGTCAAAGTCATGAGACTACATGGTAAGTGAGCAATATAAATGAGGAAAAAGCTATTGAAAGCGAAAAAATCTGTTAAATACCTGTTTTATGGGTATCTTAGAGGCATATTTGACGAAAGCAACAAGCAGACGACGAGAAGCCAGAGTTGATTCAATGATGGCGTTGATTTCGTCTGGTCGCAAAGTTTTTTTAGGTGAGTAGGTGGCAGCTGTAGTCATCGAGAACTCAGCAACGTCGGGCTGGTTGCAGAACTGACGAACCGAGTTAGAGTGTGTTGTATCCGAGGTGTTGAGTGAATAAGCAACTGTATGCTAAAAATTAAAAGATATGCAAAGATTATTTTCTATCCTATGGTCGATTATACAACATTAAAATAATCGAAAAAAACGAATTGACCTCGTTTGAGTAACTTGACGAGCTGTCAGAGACCCAGATGAACGCATCTTATCCTGAGTCCTCTGTTATCCCCATACATGTAAATGTAGCAAGTCCGCAGTTTGAAGCTTAAGACTATTATGGATGATATAGCAAAAAAATCCGGATAATGTGCGCTCACGACCAAGTTGTGAAAATGAGGTCAAACCATTACTAGAAGACCACGGCCATAGTAAATCCTGCATCATCTTGATCTTTATACCTTCGATTAAATAAATGAAGGTTCAATTGTTAATACTAATGACATAATTGTATAATTATATGAATAGTCATAGAGGCTAATTCAGCAGAAATTAAACACTTTTGATAAAATCCAAGCGTCTCATTGTAGCTTCTGAGGGATATTCAGGCTTAAGCCTATGCTGTCAAAATGGAACGCATCTATTCCAAGTCCATTTTATGCATGATAATTTCCAAAGTCGGACCGTGGACTTGGTGCATTACCAGACATTTCGCCAGAATCGTCAATGAGTCCTGCCATTCTTAGCACCATAATACGGTTCATCAGAGACAAGTAAAGC